AGACAGCCAATAGAAGAAGCACTTTGTACGCACGCACGGACTCACAAATCTAAGTTTTTGGTAAAATCATAAACATGATAACAACATGCTTTAGTTGTTTGTTTGTTGTTTAACGCAGCACTCAGCAATATTCCAGCTATATGAGGGTCGTCTGTAAATAATCCAGTCTGGACAAGACAATCCAAATCTACCCGAGGCAAGAGAATTATCTGACTTTCAAAGTCCAGTTTCCACCCTTGCCGAACTAGGCTGGAATTACTGGGCTCGATCGGAGCGCCACCAGGGGCTATTACCAGTTATGTCCCTTCTAAGCCTCTCCTATGGACCAATCAGAATCCACCCCTCGTATCACTTGCGTTTGCTTAACACAAAATGGTGGTTGGTTTGGTTTGGTTGGTCTGTTGTTTAACGCCGGACTCCGCAATATTCCAGCTATGGTGGCGCCCAGTCAGGACGATCTGATCGATAATCAAGATCTATATTGTGATAAAACGGGTCTTACATCGCGAAATGCATCAAATCACGTGAGCACCTTGATTAAAAACATGATAAGATATGGAAAATATCTGCTGACAACGAGTGGGCGGTGCACATGCTTTGCAAATCCTGCAAGCGACCGAAATCTGCACGACAGTTTACGAACCGGATTTCGATTTCGGTGTGCGATTTTGATTGGACTATGCATAGACTTGTTAGTCCAGCCAAAATGTAACTCCATAATACCAGCCTAGTTCAGCATGGGTGGAAACTGGACTTTTATAGTCAGTTAACTCTCTTGCCTCGGGAAGATGGACAATCCAGTGATTGACATCATGAGCATCGATCCACGCAATTGGGATACGATGACATGCATCAACCAAGTCAGCGAGCCTGACCACCCAATCCCATTAGTCGCCTCTTACGACAAGCATAGTCGACTTTTACAGCATGACTTGGGTCCCGAAGACCCATTCTACCCCGGATCTTCACGGGTGCTTGTGTTAGAAGCCGACTGGGGATCAGGTGGCCAGGCTCTGTGACGTCACCGATTGTGGGTCATTGTACCCGACCGATTGAATGTTGCTCTGGCTTTCAATCACCGGTTTGGCTGGTCAGGATTCCATCATCTAGAATATCATTTACTGCTATAAACCACAGTCTCCTACTCATGTTACCATCACACAGCATTCTTTGTTCTGCAGCAGTAGCGCGACAGCCATAGACGTATCTATTAAGATTACAGGACTTTTCCTGAACCCATTAGGCTTATCAGTGCCACTCCCTTCACCCCTAACACAATGATGTGCAAGCTGGTGGTACAGATAAAGACGCCTGTATTGGTCCCTATGTCAGTTGGTGACTTGAACTAGAAATAAAGGAGACCATTGAGACCACCTCGTCTGTTTCATATTTAGACCTATGCATAAAGATTCAGAGTGACAAAACAACTCAACATGACTCTATGACAAGAGGGATGACTTTAACTTTCCAATAGCTCACTTTCCCTTTATGTGAGACCGCATCCGTGGCCTAGAGGTAGAGCGTCCGCCGCGTCATACCAAAAGACGTTAAAAGATGGTACTTGTTGTTACCCTGTCTGGCGCTCGGCATAAGGGGCTAAAACAAGGAGTGGTCGGCTCGGAGTCAGTATACTGTGTCTGAGTGGGGTATTCATGTTAAACTGCGGCATGGTATCTCAGTGGGCTAGCACGATAAATCGGCATCAGTCCGGACTAGTACAAGCAGCCACACACACACGTGCATGCACGTCGCTACGTATATAAGAGCAATAATCTTGGACGCGACGTTAAACCCAATTTATGTGAGCAATATTCTTCCAGCTCCAGCCTATGGTGTCTACATTTCACAACTTTTGAGGTACAGTTGAGCATGCTCTGCTTGTGGCAGAGATTTCTTATGAATATTGAAAGGGTTTTGTTGCTTTATGTATTGGGTAGTGTGCACCCCTTTTTTTTCCAAATCAATGATTGAATTACTACCTGTTCAACTCCAGAGAATTATATCTCATTGCCAAACCACATAATTCACTAAGTCCCATCTATAATCAGATAAGGGCGGTCGGGTAACCTCGTGGTTAAAGCGTTCGCTCATCACCCGGAAGACCATTTCTGGTGTCCCCTGTCGTGATATTGCTGGAATATTGCTAAAAGCGGCGTGAAATCAAACCCACTCACTCACTTTAATCAGATAAGGATGGCTGTACCAAGAAAAACAAACAGGTTAACAAATGTGTAAATTTATTTTCAGCAGAGGGTAAATACAACTTGTCTTTTGTGGTGAGGCACAGAAAAAGGTGGTTATACTGGCCCTGTAGTGTGGATTTACTTTGACTAACAAATAAAATAAAACATAACAAAGTATAAAATGAGTGTGTGTGCGTGTGTGTGTGAGTGAGTGTATTTATGCTATCATAATATCACATATTTATATTTAAATACAGTTGGAGAATATGCAAAAGATGTAAAGTGCAGGGTATAAATCACTACCAACCCAAGTATAGCCACTAGACTTGGCCTACATTGGTGAAGAGTCTCACAAACAGACAGGCAAAGGGTGAGGTAGTTTGTTTGTGTGTTGTTGAACGTCGCACTCAGCAATATTCCAGCTATATGACGGCAGTCTGTAAATAATCAAGTCTGGACCAGACAAACCATTGATTGGCGTCATGAGCAACGGTCTTTGCAATTGAGATACGCTGACATGCACCAACCAAGTCAGCGAGCCTGAGCACCTGATCCCGTTAGTCGCCTCTTACGACAAGCATAGTCGCCTTTTACGTTAAGCATTTGTTGCTGAAGACCTATTCTACCCCGGATCTTCACGGGTCTATCTTGGAATGGTAAGTATATATATAAACAATGACATACATCATAAACATCATAATTTTATCAACTTTTCAGTATCATCAAAATAATTTCAACACAGATTGAAACAAAAGGCCGGGCTTTTAATAGTTTTTGTTTCAAATATTTTTGTGTAAAATGCTGTATGAGAAATAGGTCGGATAGAGCTGGACTAGTACCCTGCCCTCACGTCCTAGTGGCTGCACGCGCTCTAGGGCAGGCAAACTAGTCGAGGAGAGAGCGTGTCTCCCTCCCTCTGATGATTGTGCCCCAATAATGCAAGCGTGTTAAGTGTAATATATTACACTTAGGAATGTTGTCAAAAATATTTTCATAATTATTTAAGAGTCTTGAATGTACGCATATCATTATACATAAGTGAGACAAAGTGTCGTCTAAAAGTTTGTTTACATCTTTACAACTACGACTCATCCGCATGTAACTTTCTCAAACATCAAGATCAGGAGTATCTACATTTCATTTTTGTCTGTTTGTTTCTACTAGAAATGCATATACATTTAAATTGTCAAATTGTCATGACATGATATTACTGATAGATTCTTTTGTATTGAACGTCGTGCTATGCTATTCCATTCCTTTTGTATTTTATACTACTACTGCCACTGTGGTTATTACCACTGTTATTACAATACCTCTATTACATGTCAAGCATCATATTAGTTATCCAATAATTATATAATGCGCTGTACAGCTGTAAATGATATTGTTTATCTGTATGTGTATATGGGCCAATGGCCTTTCATACAATAAAGATTGATTGAAACAAAAGCAACTAAAGCACGGCGCCTGACATTGTAACATGTCATCTCTGCTGCAAAAATCCCATCTTAAAACCATATGGAAAGATGAGAGTATGACATCCTCAGTTTGAATGAATTTTGTTTTACTTATGTTTTACTTATTCTTAAGCTTCCTTTATCACTAAACATGAAAATTAAGTGGGATTTGTGAAAAACAATTTTTTTTGAAAGAGGGTATTATTTCATCAACATTTTCCCTGAAATAAACCCTGGTTAAAAAATGCTCATTAGCACCAAAACTGTTTCGTAAAGAACTTTGTAAAAGCAGAAACATCAACATGATGAAAACCAGTGCCACTCCTTCAGTACATACAGTCACAGTCTAACTCACCTCCGGCCAGGTGGGACAGTCATGTCAGAGTGGGTCACCACAAACCGAGATGCTTATATAAGATAGCTACGCGATAAATCTAAAAAATAATGAAGAATGAAGTGTGGTTTATTTCACAATAAAACACTGTTTTATCATGGTGTCATTTCTGGAGATTCGAACATGTGCTCGCAACTTGATGACGTTGTATATTGGGCGACATTATTTTGGAGAGAGGAGTGTCTGGTGAGTTGTTCCCAATAGATGTAGCTGGCCAACACATATAAATTTGATGGCCGAAAGATCGCATCCAAAGGCGGGAGAGATATGGCGAGCAGTATTGGGGGAAAGGGTACAGGTAATTGATGTAAGGATTGTGTGAATACGCGGGAAATACCACCTGTGCATAAAATGGATTTGTCCGACATTGCCCAGGTCGGATTCTATAGAGGGAGTCATCATTATTTAAATACGGGTAAATAAAGCTTGTAATTACCCCATTATACTTAAAGAGGCTGTACATAATGTTGATATCTCATATAAGAAATAAACAACTTGTGGTCATTGTTTATCGTACAATAAAACACTGCAGGAGGAATAAACCCCTCATGGTTTATTCTCCCTGCAGTGTTTTATCGTATGATAAACAACTCCCACTCGTCGTTTATTTTTAAGTAAGAGGCATCTAACTGGATCAGGTGGTCTTGATAATTGGTTGCATGTCATGAGGGCTCGGGCATTGCTCATGATATCAATCGATGGTTATTCACAAGCATTTTCAGGACACGGGCTGGCCCAGTCGTCTAAGGCGCCGCGATTCGCTGTGCAGAGTTGTGTCCCTTGGGCACGCCAGAAACCTATGATTGTGGGTTCGAATCCGATTATGTTTCTAGTTTTGTCAGCACCATACCCGTGTTCGTGGGTTTCACCGAAGTGGTAAACGTCTGAGACCTGCATCACTTCGGGCTTTCCTCCCACATTAAGCTGAAACGACGCGATATAACTGGAATACTGTTAAAAGCGGTGTTAAACCCAACTCACTCACTCACTAGCATTTTCATAAAGTTGGAATACTGCTGAGTGCTGCGAGTTTTAACCAAACAAACAAAACCCATCATCTAAATCTCTGCCAAGGTACTTGACATTCTTTAGGAAAATGATACAGAAACATATATTAACAGAAACAGTAAAAGCATAACAAGAAGAATTCACGTTCAGCAGTCAATGTCACACCATTATGGGTGAGTGTCAATATTATTGCAGCTACTTGCTACAAGACAGCACATGATCTCAAGGCACACAACACCAGTAATATCTTCAGAGATATATGTGGAATGTAGGTCTACATGTACACAAAGCTCACAAACTTTCCTCTTTCAACAAAAGTATATTTCGATTGCAACATTCCATAACAATGATACCCATATCAACAGCATCACTGACTTGGTGTCTGAAGGCACATGTACATAACTGAAGGCACATTTTCACCCATCTTCCTGAGGCAAGGGCGTTAACTGACCATAAAAGTCCACTTTCCATCCTTGTCGAAACTAGGCTGGAATTTCTGGGCTCGATCATAGCGTCACCCGTAGCTATTACAAGTTATGTCCCTTCTATATCCCTCTTACTGACAATCAGATTCCATCTCTCATATCACTTGCATTTGTTTCAAACAAAATGGCAGCAATCGATAATCATGATCTATGTTGTAATAAAATTTGGTCTTATGTCACGAAATACATCAAATCACTTGAACACCTAGATTGAAAACATGAAAAGATTTGCAAAATATCTGTTGATTTCCAGTTGGCGGTACACATGCATTGCAAATCCTGCAGTCGACCGAGTCTACATGTTGAAATCCATGTTGTTTACATCCGGATGTCTAGCTCCAATTTGATTGGACCATGCATAGACTCGTTAGTCCAGCCAAAGTGTAACTCTAGAATTCCAGCCTAGTTCGGCAAGGGTGGAAACTGGACTTTTATGGTCAGTTATCTCCCTTGCCCCGGGGAGACGATGTACACCAGTGAAGGCACACATACATCACGTGGACATCACAAGACATGACACTTATTGACATACAGAATTTGATTTCTTCAACTTATCACTACTTCAGTCCTCTACAACAACATACGACATGTCATGACATACAGACTATACTGAGGACAGTTGTACTAGTGCTAGCAAACTACGTGGAACTGTCCACTGTCAATCAGATGTTGTTTATAGTCATGAACCATCCTCTCCTGTTCACTTGTCTCTATCGAGCCTCTCCTCAACCACCGGGTTTTCTGTATGGCTTCTGCAGCACTTAACCTTTGAACTTTGACCAGGTAACATGCAATCATTGTCCCAGTTCGACCTTGACCTTGAGCACAGTGGAGAGCAACTGCCTGGAACAGGTCATGTGTCACAAATAAAAAACATTTGAAAGTAGTATTACCAAACATGTGTGCCGTAAGCTCTAAAATCTCCACTCTCTCTTCTTCAGTGTGTCACAGGCATTGTAATCACCAACCCTATCTCACAGAGAGATCTGTGTTAGAATAGGTCTTTAGCAACCCCTGCTTGTCGTAAGAGGAAACAGGTGGTCAGGCTGGCTGACTTGGTTGATGCATGTCATCATGTCCTAATTGCATGGATCGATGTTCAGGATGTCAACCACTGGATGGTCAGGTTCAGACTCGATTATTTTACAGACTGCCGTCATATAGCTGGAATATTGCTGAGTGAAGCGTTAAACAACAAACAAACAAACAAACAAACAAACAAACAAACAAAACACTATCAGGTTGTCACAGACATTTTTCCAGCAACCAAACAAATGCTTATATCCAACAAAAAATCAGATCATTATTTGTTATTTTAATGTTTAGAAGCACAATTATATTTCCCAACATATACAGGAGCTCAATTATAGAAAAAAATCAACAAAAACATAAATTACAAACCGTATTCTTTGGACACTGTAACATAGTCTGTTTGCATTAAAAGAATATTTTATTTTAGTTCTTACAATGCAAGGCATATGAAATCTTATTCCAGCCAAATAGGGGCTTGTTTTTTTTCAAATTGTTGGTCCCTTAATCTTTCAATTGATGTCCATCATAAAGTTTGAGTAAGCAGACAGGCAAAGCAGTGCTTGAATGACTTAAATCAACATAGCAGGGACTGCCATTTGTCCCAAGCTGTTGTCCCTTCCTACATGCTATTTCTGGTAACAGTAACTGATTCCAGTGAATATCAAAACACAGCATCCTGCAAAGACAGGACACCTGGCGGAGAGTCTCACCTTCTTCCTCGTCCCTGCCTTGTGGAGGATGTCAAGAAACTCCTCCACCTGTTCCATTGTGGGCGGACTGAAGTCTTGGATCTTTAGCGACACAAGCTCCAATTCTGTGGCCGGAACAGACCATAGGTATTACAAAACAGGTCTTCTCTAAGTATCCTACAGGCTTACTTGTATTCCCATCTTCCCAGACAGACACCCCCTGTCCACAAACTAAGTTACTTGGATGTGTCACTTTAGCCCCAATACAAGTGCAACAACATAGCAGAACTAAAACTGTTTCTTTCTGCATACTCCTATATACAGAATCTCACCAATGTCATTTGATATCAAATAGATGAACATGATCTGAGTCAATAAAAGTTTAAAACTCCTTGGCTGGACAAACAATTTTAAACTTATATCGGTGAGTGTTTTTAAAATTTTATTTGTTTATCATGTTTATTATTCTATTTCCCATCATATTTTACATTTCAGGGTCATACATAGAGTGTGCATGGATTAGGTGTTACATTTAGCATTATTTTTATAGCAAGATATAGTTTATTCCATTAAGGCCAAAGGCCAAAATAAAAATAATAACAATAAAACATTATGCACATGTTTACTTTGTAGCAGGACAGATCATATATCATAGTATATGCAGGGTTTCTAAATAATAAACGCAAAGACGACCAGGAGGCATTGAAACTTGCATAATTATATTTTGAATATGCTATAAATTTTGTAATTTCATAATATTTAAGTATTTCTTTTTGAATTAGTAAAATGATATGGTTTTATTTTGTTTCTTTTAAATGTGTAAAGCATAGATTTTGTTACCATAATTACTGCATTGAGTGAATTGTTTTCTTCTCTTTAAATTCAAACAGTATGTGTTCATTACTAAAATTAACTCTTCCTTCTGCATAGTTTCCAAGCCAATCTGAAAGTTTCAGCCATCAAGTGTTCATATAAATGATATCAAAAGACATGAGGGCAATCTCATTCAAATCAGACCTTAGTTCTCGCTACCGCTAAACAAAGATCTGAGGACATTCCATTATGGGTCACGTCAGACCGACCTTGCGCGAACTTTGACCGACCAGTAGAATGACCAATCAGAAGGCAGCTTTCTCGTGCTTTACGCCACTAATTTCAAGTTGGCGACTACGCTTCGAAACATATTTTGACAAATTCTCGATTACAAATTTGTAACCTAGACAAAAAAACCATTCTGGAATGGCTAATAGATGGTCCAGATTGTATGGATTTAGTCGTTAAACCTGTAACTATCGTTCGGAATACCCTGTGTTAAAGTTTTTGAGATTGTATGATTAGAAATCACATTCCGACTGTCACTTTCATGATCTAGTAAGCGACGCTCTCATTGGTCGGATGAATGGTCGTTCTGATGTGACCCGTAATGGGATGTCTTCAGATCTTTGTTTAGCGGTTGCGAGAACTAAGGTCTGATTTTAATGAGATTGACATGAGGGGGACATTCTATTTATCATCCGAGGTCTTTCCGCCACCTTGTTCAGTTTGTTCACAGTAATAACCAGTGTCTTGTGTGTAAATGTGGCAGAGAGATCAGTCATGTCATTTGATGTCATGATGAAATCACAATGGTCTGAATTGTAATGCAATGTGACTGCAGCTTGATCCCACCCAATGTCTTGTGTGGAAGCCAGTTTAGGGTAATAAAGAAATATTGTACACATGCACTCTCAGATTTGTACACACATTGCAATAACCTGCACATCAGATTGGTGTCAAACACAGCTACAGGATAGCTATGCATTGCAACAGCTGCATGATGAGACAGATGGTCTTCATGATGTATCCTGTGAATGTATCTTTTTGCCCTTTTTAACAAGTGTTATAGTTGGGATAACACTTTCTTAAGTACAGATTCTTGTACTTTTGTGGGTTGAGTCCCATCCAGGATTGGAAGACACACTGCCAGAGTGAGGCATCTAATCGCCAGCACACAAAGTTGGGTTTGTGACTGTTGCTGTCAAACACTAATATTCTATCTACATCAGCGCACCTAAGAGTACGAGCAATAGTGAAGTCATCCACTTCAGTTGGTCCTTGTGACAAGCATGAAAACTGGCAACCTGGTGAAGCCCAGTATGTGTATCTCTCTGTCGTGTCAGCACTGAAGGCTGAGGTAGCTCACCTGGACATTGTGTGACGGGGGGGTCACGTTCAGCAGTCAGGGACACCAGGTATGCCACATTGTTGTCCAGGAGGTAGCGAAGGTTCTGTCGGGTCTCGGGGAATGCCAGGGTACACAGTAGGCCATCCACAACCCATGAGAAGTTGTCCGGCATCTACAACATGGGCACACAGCACAGCTCACAGCATGCTTAACATGAGCACACAGAACAGCTCAGAGCATGCTTAACATGGGCACACAGCACAGCTCAGAGCATGCTTAACATGGGCACATAGCACAGCTCACAGCATGCTTAACATGGGCACACAGCACAGCTCAGAGCATGCTTAACATGGGCACACAGCACAGCTCACAGCATGCTTAACATGGGAACACAGCACAGCTCACAGCATGCTCAACATGGGCACACAGCACAGCTCAGAGCATGCTCAACATGGGAACACAGCACAGCTCACAGCATGCTTCACATGTGCACACAGCACAGCTCACAGCATGCTTAACATGGGAACACAGCACAGCTCACAGCATGCTTAACATGGGAACACAGCACAGCTCACAGCATGCTCAACATGGGTACACAGCACAGCTCACAGCATGCTTAACATGGGTACACAGCACAGCTCACAGCATGCTCAACATGGGCACACAGCACAGCTCACAGCATGCTTAACATGGGTACACAGCACAGCTCACAGCATGCTTAACATGGGTACACAGCAAAGCTCACAGCATGCTTAACATGGGAACACAGCACAGCTCACAGCATGCTCAACATGGGTACACAGCACAGCTCACAGCATGCTTAACATGGGTACACAGCACAGCTCACAGCATGCTCAACATGGGCACACAGCACAGCTCACAGCATGCTTAACATGGGAACACAGCACAGCTCACAGCATGCTTAACATGGGTACACAGCACAGCTCACAGCGTGCTCAACATGGGCACACAGCACAGCTCACAGCATGCTTCACATGTGCACACAGCACAGCTCACAGCATGCTTAACATGGGCACACAGCACAGCTCACAGCATGCTTAACATGGGTACACAGCACAGCTCACAGCATGCTCAACATGGGCACACAGCACAGCTCACAGCATGCTCAACATGGGGACACAGCACAGCTCACAGCATGCTTCACATGTGCACACAGCACAGCTCACAGCATGCTCAACATGGGCACACAGCACAGCTCACAGCATGCTCAACATGGGCACACAGCTCACAGCATGCTCAACATGGGCACACAGCACAGCTCAGAGCATGCTTCACAAGGGCACACAGCTCACCGCATGCTTAACATGGGCACACAGCACAGCTCACAGCATCCTTAACATGGGTACACAGCACAGCTCACAGCATGCTCAACATGGGCACACAGCATAGCTCACAGCATGCTCAACATGGGGACACAGCACAGCTCACAGCATGCTCATGGGCACACAGCACAGCTCACAGCATGCTCAACATGGGCACACAGCACAGCTCACAGCATGCTTCACATGTGCACACAGCACAGCTCACAGCATGCTTCACATGGGCACACAGCACAGCTCACAGCATGCTTCACATGGGCACACAGCACAGCTCACAGCATGCTTAACATGTGCACACAGCACAGCTCACAGCATGCTTCACATGGGCACACAGCACAGCTCACAGCATGCTCAACATGGGTACATAGCACAGCTCACAGCATGCTTAACATGTGCACACAGCACAGCTCACAGCATGCTTCACATGGGCACATAGCACAGCTCACAGCATGCTTAACATGTGCACACAGCACAGCTCACAGCATGCTTAACATGGGAACACAGCACAGCTCACAGCATGCTCAACATGTGCACACAGTTCACAGCATTCTCAACATGGGAACACAGCTCACAGCATGCTCAACATGGGAACACAGCACAGCTCACAGCATGCTTCACATGGGCACACAGCACAGCTCACAGCATGCTTCACATGTGCACACAGCACAGCTCACAGCATGCTCAACATGGGCACACAGCACAGCTCACAGCATGCTTCACATGGGCACATAGCACAGCTCACAGCATGCTTAACATGGGAACACAGCACAGCTCACAGCATGCTCAACGTGTGCACACAGCTCACAGCATGCTCAACATGGGAACACAGCTCACAGCATGCTCAACATGGGAACACAGCACAGCTCACAGCATGCTTCACATGTGCACACAGCACAGCTCACAGCATGCTTCACATGTGCACACAGCACAGCTCACAGCATGCTCAACATGTGCACACAGCACAGCTCACAGCATGCTTAACATGGGCACATAGCACAGCTCACAGCATGCTCAACATGTGCACACAGCACAGCTCACAGCATGCTTCACATGGGCACACAGCACAGCTCACAGCATGCTTAACATGTGCACATAGCACAGCTCACAGCATGCTTCACATGGGCACACAGCACAGCTCACAGCATGCTTAACATGGGTACACAGCACAGCTCACAGCATGCTTAACATGTGCACACAGCACAGCTCACAGCATGCTTAACATGGGTACACAGCACAGCTCACAGCATGCTTAACATGGGTACACAGCACAGCTCACAGCATGCTCGACATGGGCACACAGCACAGCTCACAGCATGCTCAACATGTGCACACAGCTCACAGCATGCTCAACATGGGTACACAGCACAGCTCACAGCATGCTTCACATGGGCACACAGCACAGCTCACAGCATGCTTCACATGGGCACACAGCACAGCTCACAGCATGCTTAACATGGGCACACAGCACAGCTCACAGCATGCTCAACATGGGCACACAGCTCACAGCATGCTTCACATGGGCACACAGCACAGCTCACAGCATGCTCAACATGTGCACACAGCACAGCTCACAGCATGCTTAACATGGGCACACAGCACAGCTCACAGCATGCTCAACATGGGCACACAGCTCACAGCATGCTTCACATGGGCACACAGCACAGCTCACAGCATGCTCAACATGTGCACACAGCACAGCTCACAGCATGCTTCACATGGGCACACAGCACAGCTCACAGCATGCTCAACATGGGCACACAGCACAGCTCACAGCATGCTTAACATGGGCACACAGCACAGCTCACAGCATGCTCAACATGGGCACACAGCACAGCTCACAGCATGCTTAACATGGGCACACAGCACAGCTCACAGCATGCTTCACATGGGCACACAGCACAGCTCACAGCATGCTTCACATGGGCACACAGCACAGCTCACAGCATGCTCAACATGGGCACACAGCACAGCTCACAGCATGCTTCACATGGGCACACAGCACAGCTCACAGCATGCTTCACATGGGCACACAGCACAGCTCACAGCATGCTCAACATGGGCACACAGCACAGCTCACAGCATGCTTCACATGTACACACAGCTCACAGCATGCTTCACATGGGCACACAGCACAGCTCACAGCATGCTTCACATGGGCACACAGCACAGCTCACAGCATGCTTCACATGGGCACACAGCACAGCTCACAGCATGCTCAACATGGGCACACAGCACAGCTCACAGCATGCTCAACATGTGCACACAGCTCACAGCATGCTTCACATGGGCACACAGCACAGCTCACAGCATGCTTAACATGGGCACACAGCACAGCTCACAGCATGCTTCACATGTACACACAGCACAGCTCACAGCATGCTTCACATGGGCACACAGCACAGTTCAGAGCATGCTTAACATGGGCACACAGCACAGCTCAGAGCATGCTTAACATGGGCACACAGCAAAGCTCACAGCATGCTTCACATGTGCACACAGCACAGCTCAGAGCATGCTTCACATGGGCACACAGCACAGCTCAGAGCATGCTTAACATGGGCACATAGCACAGCTCACAGCATGCTTCACATGGGCACACAGCACAGCTCACAGCATGCTTCACATGTGCACACAGCACAGCTCAGAGCATGCTTAACATGGGCACACAGCACAGCTCACAGCATGCTCAACATGGGCACACAGCACAGCTCACAGCATGCTTAACATGGGTACACAGCACAGCTCACAGCATGCTTAACATGGGTACATAGTTCAGCTCAGAGCATGATTAACATGGGCACACAGCACAGCTCAGAACTTGCTTAACATGGGTACACAGCACAGCTCACAGCTTGCTCAACATGGGTACACAGCACAGCTCAGAACTTGCTTAACATGGGCACACAGCTCACAGCATGCTCAACATGGGTACACAGCACAGCTCACAGCATGCTCAACATGGGTACACAGCACAGCTCACAGCATGCTTAACATGGGCATACAGCACAGCTCAGAGCATGCTCAACATGGGCACACAGCACAGCTCACAGCATGCTTAACATGGGTACACAGCACAGCTCACAGCATGCTTAACATGGGCACACAGCACAGCTCAGAGCATGCTTAACATGGGCACATAGCACAGCTCACAGCATGCTTAACATGGGTACACAGCACAGCTCACCGCATGCTTAACATGGGCACACAGCACAGCTCACAGCATGCTTAACATGGGCACACAGCACAGCTCACAGCATGCTTAACATGGGCACACAGCACAGCTCACAGCATGCTTAACATGGGCACACAGTACAGCTCAGAACTTGCTTAACATTGGCACACAGTAAAGCTCACAGCATGCTTAACATGGGCACACAGCACAGCTCAGAACTGGCTTAACATGGGCACACAGCACAGCTCAGAACTTGCTTAACATGGGCACACAGCTCACAGCATGCTTAACATGGGCACACAGCACAGCTCAGAACTTGCTTAACATGGGCACACAGCTCACAGCATGTTTAACATGGGCACATAGCACAGCTCAGATCTTGCTTAACATGGGCACACAACACAGCTCACAGCATGCTTTACATGGGCAGTTGATGCAGCTTCTACAGAGAGTCATTGAGAAATGCTACTGCATGATCCCTCACTACATTTAAACTGAAATGCTATTACTGTATATGTTAATATAAAGTGAAAATTATAAAATTTGCGAACTTTTCCTCATAATATTTACAATGCTGTAAGTTAAATGCCTCATTACCTGTCTGATTGTCTTCTCAAAGTCATAGATGACCTGTTCCTGGTCCTTGGTCTCGACTGACCCGGGTCTCAGGTCACGGGTTCTCCGCAGGGCTGCTGCGGCCGACAGACCCTCCTCCTTCACCAGGTAACATGCAATCAGTGTGCCCGTCCTGCCCCGCCCACCTGCACAGTGCAGCGCCACCCCCTGGACACACAGGGTGATACATTCAGTCAACAGATGCCTGGACACACAGGGTAGGTCTTTAGGTTTAACTGTGTAATACATTCAGTCAACAGATGCCTGGACACAAAAGGGTAGGTCTTTAGGTTTAACTGTGTAATACATTCAGTCAACAGATGCCTGGACATAAAGGGTAGGTCTTTAGGTTTAACTGTGTAATACATTCAGTCAACAGATGCCTTGACACATAGGGTAGGTCTTTAGGTTTAACTGTGTAATACATTCAGTCAACAGATGCCTGGACACATAGGGAAGGTCTTTAGGTTTAACTGTGTAATACATTCAGTCAACAGATGCCTGGACATAAAGAGTAGGTCTTTAGGTTTAACTGTGTAATACATTCAGTCAACAGATGCCTGGACACATAGGGTAGGTCTTTAGGTTTAACTGTGTAATACATTCAGTCAACAGATGCCTTGACACATAGGGTAGGTCTTTAGGTTTAACTGTGTAATACATTCAGTCAACAGATGCCTTGACACATAGGGTAGGTCTTTAGGTTTAACTGTGTAATACATTCAGTCAACAGATGCCTTGACACATAGGGTAGGTCTTTAGGTTTAACTGTGTAATACATTCAGTCAACAGATGCCTGGACACATAGGGTAGGTCTTTAGGTTTAACTGTGTAATACATTCAGTCAACAGATGCCTGGACACATAGGGTAGGTCTTTAGGTTTAACTGTGTAATACATTCAGTCAACAGATGCCTTGACACATAGGGTAGGTCTTTAGGTTTAACTGTGTAATACATTCAGTCAACAGATGCCTGGACACATAGGGTAGGTCTTTAGGTTTAACTGTGTAATACATTCAGTCAACAGATGCCTGGACACATAGGGTAGGTGTTTAGGTTTAACTGTGTAATACATTCAGTCAACAGATGCCTGGACATAAAGGGTAGGTCTTTAGGTTTAACTGTGTAATACATTCAGTCAACAGATGCCTGGACACACAGGGTAGGTCTTTAGGTTTAACTGTGTAATACATTCAGTCAACAGATGCCTGGACATATAGGGTAGGTCTTTAGGTTTAACTGTGTAATACATTCAGTCAATAGATGCCTGGACACACAGGGTAGGTCTTTAGGTTTAACTGTGTAATACATTCAGTCAACAGATGCCTGGACATATAGGGTAGGTGTTTAGGTTTAACTGTGTAATACATTCAGTCAACAGATGCCTGGACATATAGGGTAGGTGTTTAGGTTTAACTGTGTAATACATTCAGTCAACAGATGCCTGGACATATAGGGTAGGTGTTTAGGTTTAACTGTGTAATACATTCAGTCAACAGATGCCTGGACACATAGGGAAATCTGATACATTAATATATCAAGTTCATAAATGGAACATAACAAGATGCTGGTACAACATGATGTTTACTCAGTCAATAAATACGCAGCCATCTTGCGGCCCGGGATGCATTCTTTCGGCAGTGAAGGTATTTAGCAAGAAAATACATGACAAACACATGATAAAAATCGCTATTTGAAATCACCCAATATATAGAGCATGATAAAATGATATTGTGATACGTATAGTTGAAGAATGAACCTCAATTTACCGATATACCGATATTACCGCACACCCTTAATGAATCCCCCCCTCAGACACAGGATACTGAGTCAGAGCCTATCAGTTGTTTTAGCCCCTTAATGTGGAGCTGGTACATTCACCGTCAAACACAGGATACTGAGTCAGAGCCTATCAGTTATACATAGCCTCTTAATGTGAAGCTAGTACATTCACCGTCAAACACAAAACAACATGTCCTGCAACCACTTAATCTGGAGGTTCCACTGTGTTTGTTTGTTTGTTTGTTTGTTGTTTAACGCCGCACTCAACAATATTCCAGCTATATGACGGTGGTTTATAAATAATCAAGTCTGGACCAGACATTCCAGTGATAGATATCATGAGCATCGATCTACGCAATTGGGATACAATGACATGCATCAACCAAGTCAGCGAGTCTGACCCCCCGATCCTGTTAGTTGCCTCTTATGACAAGCATAGTTACGGTAAGCATGGGTTGCTGAAGACCTATTCTACCCGGATCTTCACTGTAGAGCTCCTCTAAACAAGTGACGTTACAAAGAAAGTAGTTCCCATGTGGTGATGGTTAAACAAATAATAGGATATATTCTGAACTTTGTGTGAAGCATAAGAAGTTATGTTAATTAGGGAGCAGGGTTTCAGGCAACATTCAAACACTTGGCCTGCTGCTTGTGCCTCAATGTTTAAAGTTTACCGGGACAGCAGGCCCCGAGCATGGTGGACATGGAGACGGTCACCTTGTGTTGCTGTGCTGCACGCTCCATGAGAGAGAGGAACTTGTTCACCTGGTGCTGGTCGGGGCTCGAGAAGTCCTTCATCTTGATGTTCACCTTTTCCAGCCCTGTAACATGGTACAGCTAGCATGTGAATAGACACCAATATCACATGGTACAGCTTGCATGTGAATAGACGCCAATATCACATGGTACCGCTTGCATGTGAATAAACACCAATATCACATGGTACCGCTTGCATGTGAATAAACACCAATATCACATGGTACAGCTAGCATGTGAATAGACACCAATATCAAATGGTACAGCTAACATGTGAATAGACACCAATATCACATGGTACAGCTAGCATGTGAATAGACACCAATATCACATGGTAAACCTGGCATGTGAATAGACACCAATATCACATGGTACAGCTAGCATGTGAATAGACACCAATATCACATGGTACACCTAGCATGTAAATAGACACCAATATCACATGGTACACCTACCTGAGAGGTGGAACCTGGTCAATAGGAGGGATAAAGACAGGACATAACTTGTAATAGCCACTGGTGGCACTACAATCCAAGCCTAGTTCGGCAAGGGTGGAAACTGGACTTTTATAGTCAGTTAACTCCCTTGCCACAGGAGGATGGATGAGGCGTGGTTCACCGTACCTGTGAGTCCCTCTGTGTCCGGGTCCCGCTCCTCGGTCAGACACACCAGGTAGCCCACGCCATGGTCCACCAGGTACTGCAGGTGCTCCCTTTCTTCTGGGAAGGCCAGAGCACACAGCCTGCCCCTGACCAACCACGAGAACCTCCGGGGCACCTGCAACACAGTTCCATCAACACTGCAACAGCCATTAAAGTCTACTCAGTGCTACAGGAACCATCACAGTCACAGTCAACTAACCCTGTCCTGTAACCCCGCTACTGTGTACTGTAGAAGTTGGTGCTCGAGGATATAGCGTAAAACAGATGATGAAAAGACAGACCGGCAAAATCATCCCAAAATGAAAATTCCTCCATTGCGGGGAATCCCCTTCCTGGGGTTAAAACGGGCTCCCAGTGTTTGACGCGCTGCCCAATTTCAAAGATTAAGACAGTCTGGCAGACACCCAATCTGTCTGCTTCTGCCTCGGGTTTTGTGATGCAACATCATTTGTCTCCTCATCCTCTTGATTACCTGTCCACAACTTATCTCACCTTAGTAACAACACTTAAGATGCCTTCAGTTAACTGTTTGATTGGCATTCTAGAAGTTGGTGAGTAGCAATTGAGTGAGTATGGTTTTACGCCGCTTTTAGCAATATTCCAGCAATATCACGGCAGGGGACACCAGTAATGGGCTTCACATATTGTACCCATGTCAGGAATCGAACCCGGGTCCTCGAGTGGCAAGTGAATGCTTCAAACACTAGGCTACCCCACTGCCCCTAGTTGGTGAGTAAGTTAGAAAACATACAACGATATGAATAACAACTTCTTGTTTATTGTATTTAGCGACGTTTTGATGTCGATTCCTAATCCCTTTAATTCCAAATATTGTGTGGAATAGCCTTGGTGAAGATTCAGTGCTGAAGTAAACCCAGTCTCACCTTTCTCCTGTAAGTTTCATACTCTGCCACCAGAACTTCCTGTGACCTTGACCCCAGTGATCCAGGTCGAAGTTCACGGACTCTGTCAACAGCTTCTGCTGCTGTCATGACCTGTCTCTGGACAAAGTAACATGCCAACATGGCACCCGTCCTGCCGAGGCCATCAGAGCAGTGAACAGCTACTGCCTGGAGACACAGAGAATCAGGACAATCATTTCCTTTGTTTTGTTTCCATTTGGTTCAAGGTTCTTTGAGACTTTCTGTACCTATACCTATATAAGCGCCATGTGTCTTGTATTCTTAGGATGGGGTACTAGAGGAAGCCATGTGTCTTGTATTCTAGTGACACATATACCTTCTCTGTCTACAACAAGGATGGGGTACTAGAGGAAGCCATGTGTCTTGTATTCTAGTGACACATATACCTTCTCTGTCTACAACAAGGATGGGGTACTAGAGGAAGCCATGTGTCTTGTATTCTAGTGACACATATACCTTCTCTGTCTACAACAAGGATGGGGCACTAGAGGAAGCCATGTGTCTTGTATTCTAGTGACACATATACCTTCTCTGTCTACAACAAGGATGGGGTACTAGAGGAAGCCATGTGTCTTGTATTCTAGTGACACATATACCTTCTCTGTCTACAACAAGGATGGGGTACTAGAGGAAGCCATGTGTCTTGTATTCTTGTGACACATATACCTTCTCTGTCTACAACAAGGATGGGGTACTAGAGGAAGCCATGTGTCTTGTATTCTAGTGACACATATACCTTCTCTGTCTACAACAAGGATGGGGTACTAGAGGAAGCCATGTGTCTTGTATTCTAGTGACACATATACCTTCTCTGTCTACAACAAGGATGGGGTACTAGAGGAAGCCATGTGTCTTGTATTCTAGTGACACATATACCTTCTCTGTCTACAACAAGGATGGGGTACTAGAGGAAGCCATGTGTCTTGTATTCTAGTGACACATATACCTTCTCTGTCTACAACAAGGATGGGGTACTAGAGGAAGCCATGTGTCTTGTATTCTAGTGACACATATACCTTCTCTGTCTACAACAAGGATGGGGCACTAGAGGAAGCCATGTGTCTTGTATTCTAGTGACACATATACCTTCTCTGTCTACAACAAGGATGGGGTACTAGAGGAAGCCATGTGTCTTGTATTCTAGTGACACATATACCTTCTCTGTCTACAACAAGGATGGGGTACTAGAGGAAGCCATGTGTCTTGTATTCTAGTGACACATATACCTTCTCTGTCTACAACAAGGATGGGGTACTAGAGGAAGCCATGTGTCTTGTATTCTTGTGACACATATACCTTCTCTGTCTACAACAAGGATGGGGTACTAGAGGAAGCCATGTGTCTTGTATTCTAGTGACACATATACCTTCTCTGTCTACAACAAGGATGGGGTACTAGAGGAAGCCATGTGTCTTGTATTCTAGTGACACATATACCTTCTCTGTCTACAACAAGGATGGGGTACTAGAGGAAGCCATGTGTCTTGTATTCTAGTGACACATATACCTTCTCTGTCTACAACAAGGATGGGGTACTAGAGGAAGCCATGTGTCTTGTATTCTAGTGACACATATACCTTCTCTGTCTACAACAAGGATGGGGCACTAGAGGAAGCCATGTGTCTTGTATTCTAGTGACACATATACCTTCTCTGTCTACAACAAGGATGGGGTACTAGAGGAAGCCATGTGTCTTGTATTCTAGTGACACATATACCTTCTCTGTCTACAACAAGGATGGGGTACTAAAGGAAGCCATTTGTCTTGTATTCTAGTGACACATATACCTTCTCTGTCTACAACAAGGATGGGGTACCAGAGGAAGCCATGTGTCTTGTATTCTTGTGACACATATACCTTCTCTGTCTACAACAAGGATGGGGTACTAGAGGAAGCCATGTGTCTTGTATTCTAGTGACACATATACCTTCTCTGTCTACAACAAGGATGGGGTACTAGAGGAAGCCATGTGTCTTGTATTCTAGTGACACATATACCTTCTCTGTCTACAACAAGGATGGGGTACTAGAGGAAGCCATGTGTCTTGTATTCTAGTGACACATATACCTTCTCTGTCTACAACAAGGATGGGGCACTAGAGGAAGCCATGTGTCTTGTATTCTAGTGACACATATACCTTCTCTGTCTACAACAAGGATGGGGTACTAGAGGAAGCCATGTGTCTTGTATTCTAGTGACACATATACCTTCTCTGTCTACAACAAGGATGGGGTACTAGAGGAAGCCATGTGTCTTGTATTCTAGTGACACATATACCTTCTCTGTCTACAACAAGGATGGGGCACTAGAGGAAGCCATGTGTCTTGTATTCTAGTGACACATATACCTTCTCTGTCTACAACAAGGATGGGGTACTAGAGGAAGCCATGTGTCTTGTATTCTAGTGACACATATACCTTCTCTGTCTACAACAAGGATGGGGTACTAGAGGAAGCCATGTGTCTTGTATTCTAGTGACACATATACCTTCTCTGTCTACAACAAGGATGGGGTACTAGAGGAAGCCATGTGTCTTGTATTCTTGTGACACATATACCTTCTCTGTCTACAACAAGGATGGGGTACTAGAGGAAGCCATGTGTCTTGTATTCTAGTGACACATATACCTTCTCTGTCTACAACAAGGATGGGGTACTAGAGGAAGCCATGTGTCTTGTATTCTAGTGACACATATACCTTCTCTGTCTACAACAAGGATGGGGTACTAGAGGAAGCCATGTGTCTTGTATTCTAGTGACACATATACCTTCTCTGTCTACAACAAGGATGGGGTACTAGAGGAAGCCATGTGTCTTGTATTCTTGTGACACATATACCTTCTCTGTCTACAACAAGGATGGGGTACTAGAGGAAGCCATGTGTCTTGTATTCTAGTGACACATATACCTTCTCTGTCTACAACAAGGATGGGGTACTAGAGGAAGCCATGTGTCTTGTATTCTAGTGACACATATACCTTCTCTGTCTACAACAAGGATGGGGTACTAGAGGAAGCCATGTGTCTTGTATTCTAGTGACACATATACCTTCTCTGTCTACAACAAGGATGGGGTACTAGAGGAAGCCATGTGTCTTGTATTCTAGTGACACATATACCTTCTCTGTCTACAACAAGGATGGGGCACTAGAGGAAGCCATGTGTCTTGTATTCTTGTGACACATATACCTTCTCTGTCTACAACAAGGATGGGGTACCAGAGGAAGCCATGTGTCTTGTATTCTAGTGACACATATACCTTCTCTGTCTACAACAAGGATGGGGTACTAAAGGAAGCCATTTGTCTTGTATTCTAGTGACACATATACCTTCTCTGTCTACAACAAGGATGGGGTACCAGAGGAAGCCATGTGTCTTGTATTCTTGTGACACATATACCTTCTCTGTCTACAACAAGGATGGGGTACTAGAGGAAGCCATGTGTCTTGTATTCTAGTGACACATATACCTTCTCTGTCTACAACAAGGATGGGGTACTAGAGGAAGCCATGTGTCTTGTATTCTAGTGACACATATACCTTCTCTGTCTACAACAAGGATGGGGCACTAGAGGAAGCCATGTGTCTTGTATTCTAGTGACACATATACCTTCTCTGTCTACAACAAGGATGGGGCACTAGAGGAAGCCATGTGTCTTGTATTCTAGTGACACATATACCTTCTCTGTCTACAACAAGGATGGGGTACTAGAGGAAGCCATGTGTCTTGTATTCTAGTGACACATATACCTTCTCTGTCTACAACAAGGATGGGGTACTAGAGGAAGCCATGTGTCTTGTATTCTAGTGACACATATACCTTCTCTGTCTACAACAAGGATGGGGTACTAGAGGAAGCCATGTGTCTTGTATTCTAGTGACACATATACCTTCTCTGTCTACAACAAGGATGGGGTACTAGAGGAAGCCATGTGTCTTGTATTCTAGTGACACATATACCTTCTCTGTCTACAACAAGGATGGGGTACTAGAGGAAGCCATGTGTCTTGTATTCTAGTGACACATATACCTTCTCTGTCTACAACAAGGATGGGGTACTAGAGGAAGCCATGTGTCTTGTATTCTAGTGACACATATACCTTCTCTGTCTACAACAAGGATGGGGCACTAGAGGAAGCCATGTGTCTTGTATTCTTGTGACACATATACCTTCTCTGTCTACAACAAGGATGGGGTACCAGAGGAAGCCATGTGTCTTGTATTCTAGTGACACATATACCTTCTCTGTCTACAACAAGGATGGGGTACTAAAGGAAGCCATTTGTCTTGTATTCTAGTGACACATATACCTTCTCTGTCTACAACAAGGATGGGGTACCAGAGGAAGCCATGTGTCTTGTATTCTTGTGACACATATACCTTCTCTGTCTACAACAAGGATGGGGTACTAGAGGAAGCCATGTGTCTTGTATTCTAGTGACACATATACCTTCTCTGTCTACAACAAGGATGGGGTACTAGAGGAAGCCATGTGTCTTGTATTCTAGTGACACATATACCTTCTCTGTCTACAACAAGGATGGGGTACTAGAGGAAGCCATGTGTCTTGTATTCTAGTGACACATATACCTTCTCTGTCTACAACAAGGATGGGGCACTAGAGGAAGCCATGTGTCTTGTATTCTAGTGACACATATACCTTCTCTGTCTACAACAAGGATGGGGTACTAGAGGAAGCCATGTGTCTTGTATTCTAGTGACACATATACCTTCTCTGTCTACAACAAGGATGGGGTACTAGAGGAAGCCATGTGTCTTGTATTCTAGTGACACATATACCTTCTCTGTCTACAACAAGGATGGGGTACTAGAGGAAGCCATGTGTCTTGTATTCTAGTGACACATATACCTTCTCTGTCTACAACAAGGATGGGGTACTAGAGGAAGCCATGTGTCTTGTATTCTAGTGACACATATACCTTCTCTGTCTACAACAAGGATGGGGTACTAGAGGAAGCCATGTGTCTTGTATTCTAGTGACACATATACCTTCTCTGTCTACAACAAGGATGGGGTACTAGAGGAAGCCATGTGTCTTGTATTCTAGTGACACATATACCTTCTCTGTCTACAACAAGGATGGGGTACTAGAGGAAGCCATGTGTCTTGTATTCTAGTGACACATATACCTTCTCTGTCTACAACAAGGATGGGGCACTAGAGGAAGCCATGTGTCTTGTATTCTTGTGACACATATACCTTCTCTGTCTACAACAAGGATGGGGTACTAGAGGAAGCCATGTGTCTTGTATTCTAGTGACACATATACCTTCTCTGTCTACAACAAGGATGGGGTACTAGAGGAAGCCATTTGTCTTGTATTCTAGTGACACATATACCTTCTCTGTCTACAACAAGGATGGGGTACTAGAGGAAGCCATGTGTCTTGTATTCTAGTGACACATATACCTTCTCTGTCTACAACAAGGATGGGGTACTAGAGGAAGCCATGTGTCTTGTATTCTAGTGACACATATACCTTCTCTGTCTACAACAAGGATGGGGTACTAGAGGAAGCCATGTGTCTTGTATTCTAGTGACACATATACCTTCTCTGTCTACAACAAGGATGGGGTACTAGAGGAAGCCATGTGTCTTGTAATCTTAGGATGGGGTACTACTAGAGGAAGCCATGTGTCTTGTATTGCTGTGACATGTACCAACCTTTTTCTCTGCCTCTGCCAGGTCCACCAGAGTGAGGAATTCAACGACCTGCTCCATGTCCGGGGTGGAGGATGCAGCCATTTTCAGGTCCACCTTCATCAAGTCTGCCAGACAACAGCGGTTATCATACAGAACGTACGGACAAAACACAGCAATCACACCAGAACTTTACTGTTCAAATTCACCATATCTGCTAGTATGGAGAGACCCTGACCTTGACAGTAGGGTTGTAAAAACAGACACATCAACCACATCACATTCCTGTTTTACTCAAATACTTAATTGTATCAGATCTTTACCATTCATTTAAGATTATGAGACTACAAATTTGAAATCAGCAGAATTATTACAGTGTTTTTCTTGGGGGAATTTCCTGACTGGTCATTTATATATCTTACCTGGGTAGTTGTCGACATCAGGGTCGCGCTCCTGGGTCAGGCTGACGAGGTAGGCAATGTTGTTGTTGACGAGGTAGTTAAGATCTGCTTTACTTCCTGGGAACGCTAATGCGCACAGTAGGTCCTTCACAACCCATGAAAACTTCCAGGGAATCTGATATAATGATGGATTGATGGATTGATATTCCTTTAAAGATCAGTGAATGCTGGATTGGATTTCTCACTAGGAATAAAAATCACCAAAACGTTTGGTCATAATGTAAATTCTTTTTAAAAGGGAAAATTCTCAGGTGAAAAATGTGCTACACATATTTGTAAACTATACTTTTTTGTCTCACAGAAATGAAATGCTGTCACTAGGATGTTTTACTAATGTTTTACTTATGTTTTACCTATGTTTTACATACGTTCCTGCACAGACATCTTTATACAAGCACAAGCCATCACATGTAAGTTTAATTAGAACTTCTGATGAGTAATGGAATTTGAGAGAAATGTGTGAGTAATATTCACTGGACCAACCCCTGACTTTGCCGATTGAAATTCTTCCACAACGTCCATCATCTCCCGCGAGAGGGGGGACTCCTTCAGCACACTGCAGGCATGGGCTGCGGCCTTCACAGTGGACATGTTATGGAAGTCGATGAAGTAGCACGCACACAGTGTCACCCACACAGCAGCATCGGCTTGGACAACAGCAGCGACCTGCAAGTGAGGCAGAGAGTGAGTGAGTGAGTGGGTGGGTGGGTAAGTGGGTGAGTGAGTAAGTGAGTGAGTGGGTGGGTGGCTGAGTGAGTGAGTGGGAAGGTGGGTGAGTGAGTGAGTAGGGTTTTATGTTGCTTTTAGCAATATTCCAGCAATATCACTGTAGGGGGACACCCAGAAATGAGCTTCACACATTGTACCCATGTGGGGGAAATGGAACCTGGGCCTTCGGCGTGACGAGCGAACGCTTTAACCACTAGGCTACCCGACCGCCCCTGGATTTAACCATGAGGCTGCATCTTCACCCCAGCTACCTACAACACCAGTGGACATATATATATGTTACAGTCAATGTGTAAAATTACTTTAAAACAATCACCAAGACAATTACAAAGTAACTGAAAAAACTGTACATATATTTTATTATGATCACAAATTCCAAACATTTTGATGTTTAATTCATCAACCAGTAACTGAAAATAAGAGGATTAATAGAATGAAATGTATATTTTGTTTCTCTTTCGGCTCCTTACCCTAGCATAATTTGTCTATTGGGATGTTTTTAAGCCGTTTTGAACTTCTTAACAATTATTAGTTAATCTGTCAAACAAATGAACAGATCAATGATTAAAATATTTTGACATTTAAAAAACTGCCTAAGTGAATCATATTTTACACATTGACTGTAATATAAACTGACGTCCAAAAGAAACTTTACCAACTGAAAATATAAATTTCAGACAAAGTATAAAAATTTTTTCGATGAAGTCTATCTAAAACACATGACCTTAATACAACAATAGTGTATGCAGAAAATGTTAATCGTCTGTTACATGTTTGCGAGATAACACGCGAAAAAGTGAAAAACACGTGCACCACGGACAACTGCAAATGCACGAGCGGGTAAGGGTATAAAACGATTGCATCGGCAAGTCAGACATCCACAGTGATAAAAAAAACACAAAAGAAATGCCACGACTCACAGTCGAACAATGTGAACGAGCCTTGGGTATGGTACAGATGGGAGCCACACACGCCCATATTGCACAAACCTTCGGTTGCTCCCGTGTTGCCGTTACCAACTTGATGCAACGTTACAGACAGACAGGGCGACCGCTGACAGGCCAAGAACAGGCAGACCCAGGGTGACCGAGCCCCATGATGACAGGTACTTGCGTATCTTGCACCTCCGAAATCGCTTCCTGACAGTGACGTCATCGGCGACAAATGCTTTACGTCACAGGGTTAGTCGACAGACAGTGGCCAGGAGACTCAGGGCTCATGGAATCAGAGCTTTTAGACCATACAGAGGACAGCTATTGACAGCGCAACATCGTCGTCTGTGATTGAGATGGGCCCGGACTGTACGACGTTGGCAACGACGTGACTGGCAGAGGGTTGTCTTCACTGACGAAAGTCGATTCTGTATGTTTAGGGCTGATGGAAGACAACGTGTTTACCGCCAAAGGGGTGAACGAACGGCAGCGTGTTGTGTGCAGGAGGTCGTACCATATGGTGGAGGGAGTGTCATGGTGCGGGGAGGGATCTGTGGGCAGGAGAGGACACCGCTGGTCATCGTTGACGGAAACTTGACAGCTCAGCGTTACATGGATAATATTCTTCGTCTAGTTGTCCTACCATTTCTCCAACAGCAGCCATGTGGTGTCATTTAGCAGCATGACAACGCTAGAGGCCACACAGCCAGAATTGTCACTAACTTCCTCACAGCCAACAACGTCAACGTCCTGCCGTGGCCTGCACGCTCACCCGACATGTCCCCCATAGAACACCTCTGGGACTTGATGGATTGTCGTATTCGACAACGACCACACTCTCCAGCCAACCAGCAAGAACTGATTTTGGCCCTCCAAGAAGAATGGCGTCAAATCCCACGTGACCTCATCAGATGACTTTTTCTGTGCATCAAGAGTTTTTGCATGTATTGAGGCATTTTGGTGTTCACACACGCTACTAATGACTTGATATTGAACGTGAGCGAATGTTTATGTACTCTGCCTATTGTCCATGAATCTGAAAGCTCGAGTTTAGTACCACACCCAACTTTGGGGGGCTCTGACGTCATTCTAGGTCGCGGTATGATTGTTATTTTCAGTGTTGATTATGTTGATATATTGATCTTCTCAATACACTTTACTTCATGCATGTATGTTTTGTTGTTTTTGAGCAAGAGTGATTTCAAACTCTGGTAAAGTTTCTTTTGGACGTCAGTTTATATGGTACTATAGTAGTATAGGTAATGGGGGTTCTGCTGCAACCCAACTGTAGCCAGATTTATATACCTATACTGCTACTACAGAGGGAATTTTTTATGCAAATATGATGATGCGCACAAATAATCGTCATGAGACTAAGCTAAATTATAATGAAAAGGGCTAGCTCACCACTACCTGAACCCCCATTACCTATACTACTACTCTCCTGGTTCCACATGGGTAAGTGAGTGAGCTAGGTTTGATCCGATTTGAACATTATTTCCCGTTTGTCACAGTGTGCCAACTTTATGTAGGAGGAAAGCACAACTTGATGTAACCACCTTGGTGCTACCTACGAGCATGCATATGGGTAGGGGTGTGGTGCTGACAATCTATGTATAATGATAAGGTGTATCTGGATTCAGCCCAGCAGATCTTCAGCTGTCATATACTCTTCCTGGTCAAGTGACATGCCAGCATGACTGCCGTCCTGCCAAGACTATCTGAGCCGCCCAGTGGTAAGATGGCATGGTGTGTAAAATGTAGGGCTGATGTCATGACAACTCGGTTTGAGTGAGTGGACCACCTAGTTTGGGCCAGGCAAACTGATAGCCGTGCAAAAGGTTAAACATCCTGCATACGTCGAGAATCTTGGTTGCCTTTCATTCACTTAATGTTCATGAACAATGGCTACGTCCTTGATGGCCCCAGGTCACATGATCATGTTGTGGACAGGGGAAATCACGTTCCTAATTAGAATTATGCAGGAAAACAGACCATTTTGAGCGTAAGTAGACACAATTTATGGCTAACAACTTCTTTATTTACTGTAAAGGCAACGTTTCCGTATAGATCCTAATACCGTTGTCAAGCAAGGACAGCAGTATAAGGATCTATACCAAAATGTCAGACAGACAGACAGACAGACAGACAGACAGATTTATTTGTATAAGGCCATTTGACCCATTGTACAAAATACATTTACATTTTATTTATCTAAGAGTTACCTAATTGATACTTTTTGTGTGTGTGTGTGTTGAGAACACGTACATTAGAAATTTTGCAAAATTTATCATTGCATCGTTGTTGGATACTTGACAGAGTCTTTCTAAACAAAAATAATTATGATTAACTGTCTTTGGGATATACATTTCCCGCCGACTTGCATAAAGAGGACAGTTGTATATAACATGAAGTTCATCCTCAATTACATGACAGTGTTTACATAAGACGGCATCCTCCTCAATATTAGCAACACCCCTACGTACAAGTTGAATACCAAGAGTATTCTGTCCACATCTAAATTTGGTTATTAGCCTTCTATATTCACAATGCTTAATATTTGATAAATATTCTTCACAAACGATATTAGATTTATGCAGTTTATAGAATGAGATGGTCTTGCTGCCTAGAGATGCATGCCAATCTTGAAACGAACAATCTTTAACTCTTTCGCTGAACATATGTACAAATAATTCTGCATTGCCAACGCCTTGTGCAGCCCATACATCCCCAAAACCATAATGACTTAGCAAAAGTCTGATATGCGATGCCCAGTTAGATGTCCTATCAGCAATGGATAATAACATTTTATAACACTGGTATGGGTATCTGTATGGTATGGCAAAATCTTAAACCAATATTTAATGCATTTTACATAATAAATAGTATGAAGTGGATACCTACCATATTCACCATAGGCTACTGCATTTGCAGTCCTGTAGCCCGTGTGAAGTAAAAATTTACAAAATTTGCGGTGAACAATTTCAATCGTATTCCATTTTTGGTATCCCCAAATCTCAGCACCATACATTAATATCGGAACAAAATTTTTTATCAAATATAAAGAATGCTTCCGTAACCGAAATGTCATAACGTCTTATTAACGATTTAACTGACCAAAGTGCTTTGCTTGCTTGCTCACATAGAGTTTTACAGGCCTTAGTCCAAATTAATTTGGGAGTGAAAACAAGTGCCAAATATTTATAGGCGTTAACCGTATTCATACGTTCACCGTTATAATACCATTTCTCATTTTTTGACAAGGGTCCTCCCATTTTAAACACAATAATTTTACTCTTTTCAGTATTAATATCCATACCCCATTTATCAGAGTATAAATATAATTCATCAAGACGCTTTTGTAATTTTAATACACTGTCTGCAACAAGTATTAAATCGTCGGCAAACAACAGGGCAATTATATTTAACATTTCCTCTGAGATAAAAACACCATCCTGGAATTTACTTTCCAAACATATAACTAATTCGTTGATAAACAAAGAAAACAGTACTGGACTAAGAGTACAACCTTGTCTTACCCCACATGAACTATCAAAATACTCAGTAATTTTCTTGCCATAATCGTATGTTACAGTTGCTTTAACATGATTATACATACTCTGGATAATACATAAAAAATTGCCATGAATACCATTTTCCAATAAAATATACATTAACTTACTCCTATCAACCATATCAAATGCTTTTCGAAAATCAATAAAAGCGCAATATACTTTTCCTTTTTTTGCGAGTGAAAATGAAAATGTTATCAATAGTTGAATGATCTTTCTTAAACCCCCCTTGATATTCACCAATTATGCCTTGGTAGTCTAAGAAACATTGTAGTCTTTTATTCAGAACATAAGAAAACATTTTACCCATTATATTGAGAAGTGATATACCACGAAAGTTATTAGGATCACTTTTACTACCTTTTTTATGCAGTGGCATTATTATTCCCGTTGACCATAATTTTGGGTAATGTCCACTGGTCAACACTGCATTAAACAAAATGACAAGATATGGAGTTAATACATTTTCAACTGATTTGTAAAATTCTGGTGGGAGTCCATCATCACCAGGTGATTTTCCACACTTTAAATGGTGAAGAGCGTTTACAACATCTTGTCCGATAAAATCACACGATAAAATATCATCTTGTTTTTGACAGTCTGGGCATAAGCTATCATTATGATGTTGAAGAAACTCACTGACTAAAATAATCTACCCAAGTTGCGGGTGCGATGCTAGAGTCCTGCGAGCGTGCGGTAATATAACGTTTAACAAGTCTCCAAAATGTTGTACAGTTGCTATCATTCGCAGCATTAACTAATGCCTTTGTAATGCTCTGCTTAAAATGAGTCTGTTTTTGTTTACATAAAGATTTAAATTTGTTTCTAATGTTCTTGTATAAGTTATAGTTTTCCGAAGAAGACACCTTTCTGAATGTATTCAAGTGTTCACACTCTTCATCAAACCATTCTGGTTGTTTCTTAAAGCCTATATATTTGGACCTCTTTACTTTCATATTCCTTCCACAATATTGTATTATGTGCTGTAATTTCTCTGCGGCTTTATCAACATCAATTTCCACACAGGTTATAAATTCATTTAACATTTCTTGCACTAATTCACTTTCAAAATTATTCATATAGGCTTCACTCTTATTCGCGTTCCATATATATCTACACCTGTCCTCACCTAGGCTGTAATCCTGATCTAGAGTGTCTGCTACATTAAACAATGATGAAAAAGAAGCAAATATGGGAAGATGGTCTGATTCAGTGCGACTTATAACTTTAAAGTCCTATACATACTTGTAAAAGGATGCTGACACACAAATATAATCTGGTGAGCTAACACCTGTTGCTCCAACATAGGTATAATCCCCTTCATCAGAAAACCTGCCATTTAGTAAATATAAACCAAACGTCTTACAAACGTCTAAGAAATATTTCCCATAATTGTTAACGACTTGGTCCTTGTTCTTTCGCCCTGCAGGGCTGTCATACTGATCGTACAAAATATCATCCATTGGTAGATGATCAACTGCATCAAAATCAATATATTCTAATTCGGTTCCAGTTCTACTATTAAAATCACCACACAAGATGTAGTCACTTTCCGGGATTTCGTCCATGAGCACTGCAAGAAAATTTTCTAAAACTTCAATACCCTCATTATAGCCCAATGTTTCAGGTTTCAAGTACACACATCCCACTATTAGCCTTCTACCAGTAATGAGTACATCATTAGATACAACAAAAACACAGTCAACCGATTCGTCATGTATCCTTGAAAATACGATGAAAGTTTATCACTAATATATACCGCGACACCTCCACTGTATCGACCTGCCTTCTTCTCTTTAGGTCGAACGGACTGAAATGAAATGAAATTAGGAAAAACATACTTGAAGTCATCTAAACATTTTGCCCACGTTTCGGTTAAACAGATGATATTCTGCTCACACACAAAGTCAAGGACGTCATTATTGTTTATCTTAGAGTATAAACAGTTCACATTCCAACGAAACACAGAAGTGGGTTGCTCTGCTTGAGAAGTGCACGTGCATTTCGTGTTGACGTCATCTGGTGAAGTTATTTCTGGGTCAGGGCCTTCTCGTTATAAGGCTTCGTAATGTGTGTCAGATGAGAGATCACTGGGCAAAATGTCGACTTTACAGTAAATAAAGAAGTTGTTAGCCATAAATTGTGTCTACTTTGTCATCCATCAACTTCTAATGCCTATCAAACATTGAGCCTGTGGTTGAAAAGCTGACAAGTCTTGTGTAAGCTATCTTAAATTACTGAATTCAAAAGATGAAAACACAAATTAAGCATGTGAGAACAGTAAAGTGCCATTTTGATTTCATTGAACCAATCATCCAATACATATTAACTGATATGAATATGTTCTTATAATGATAGTAAACAAAATTACTGAAGCTGATTCAGGTTGGTGTCATACAGGGTGTGTCAGGTTTATTTCTGTAGTATGTACCCTATACCACAGCAAACCCTCCAGTATCTCTGAGGCCTCGGTACATGTGCACCTGCGTGACTAGACCAGCTTCAGATGGTCCAGGATCAATCTTTTAGGGACGTGTTTCACTGTCATACTGAATGTTTCCGAATATTGAAGAAGATGGACTGCACAGCCACTACCATGTTAATTAAGACTGCACCAATGCACCCAGATAAATTACCCTATATAACCAAATATAGGATCCCCAAAACATGATTTGGTCTGTTTCCATACACAAAGTTTCATAAATCGTTTCGATTATTTCAACATCAGGTTAACTTTGTTATAAACTGGTAGAGACTGACTTGCTATCATATGAATTTTGTTATCTCATAATTTACTGTGTCAAAAGGCACTTCCTTCATGCCAATCAACAGAATAAACATATAAACTGTGTGTTGTTGTTAGGAAATCACTGTTTATTGTTATTACGGAAGTGCTTTACTCAGTGCTAATAAGTGGCACTATGTGGCGTTTGATTGGATTAAGGTAAGGATATGTATCATTCCACTGGGGATGGGATGGCATTGATTTTGAGTTGCATTGGTGGTTAGGGGCCAGCAGTTGTATTAATTTGGAGATGCATTAATTTGAAGACATACAGTATTAGTTGATTTACAGTAAGAGTTGCATTGATATTTATATACTAACAATTGCTTTAAGAATTGCAGGTATACCATTTCCTATTCAACTACTTAATGTATGACAAAATAGAGATAATTTATGGCTAACAACTTGTTTCAGTATAGATCCTTGCTTGACAATGGTATAAAGATCTATACCGAAACGTTGCCTTTACAGTAAATAAACAAGTTGTTAGCCATAAATTATCTCTACTTTGTCATCGCTCAACTTCTAAGTAATGCCTATCAAACAAAACAATACTGAATATATGTTTCTATCAACAGGTTTTGCCATTTGGAAATAGACTATACTTATAAGGACACAGATGGTTTATGAGTTGGGTCTATTATTAGTTCTATAGCAAGTTTCATTCTAGAATAATTAAGGGTAGATAGGTAGGGCTACCACATTATTACATGGCCTGATTTAAATAACGCCAATTGGATCATTCAAACTCTTGTCCTCTTTCTTACATCACATCTGGCACTTCACATTCAGCCTCTGCACCAGCAGGACTGTTCTATATTGGAGTCAACAATTGTAAATACCTTACAGGTTAGTTTAATCCTTTACATTGGTTTATAAGTGTGTACACCTTTACATGTTATAGTTGCACTGTTTGTAGGGCTGGGACAAGTCCAAATCTACTACCCGGGTATCCGACCCCAAATTACCCAACCCTACCTGGGTATTTTTTGGACTCGAGTACCCGAGGGGTGAAACTCGACTCGTACTCGAGTTCCCGAAAATAGGACGTCCTTTAAGAATATTGGTTCATTAGATCAAAATTGCCATCTAAAAGTATTAAAACATGTTATAGGTATAACTGAACTACACTGAAATGTAAATAGAGAGCGTCCACGGAACTTGTTTATCTGTCAAAGTGCATGGAAGTGTTCAGTGTTAATGTTTGCTTGTAACTGCACTAATCTTAATCACGACCTTCAAAAACTTAACGCCACGTCTACAAAAACTACAATACATATTGAACACAAACCAAGTTGTTTTTTTTCTGACGATCAGCGTTTCATTCGACAGCTGCCAACAAGCACAAACAATAATTCGCACGAAGAAAATCGATATGTGCATCACGATATACACGTATACACAGCTGCTGGGCTGCAAGACTAAGGCCGCTAAATATTGAAATGTAGTACTATAAGTTGGTCACGTTTTCAAACTGTACCAAACTGTCGACCTGTCGCTTGATGTGTAAGCACTGAAATAACACATATATATCAGCTAATCAGTTGTTAATCTGTGTAAGGGAATACACTTGGCATTTGATGTCGGAGCAAAGAAGCAATAATCGCCTTGATACATTCAATTTCTTAAAGTCGGGAAGGAAAAACAATAATTACGTCTATTTTATGTGACATTCTCAATTGTTCTAATGTACATCTACTTTCTACAAAGAATACATTATTCAAACAATATTTTTTGAAGCTTTAATCAATATATTGATGAACAATTGAACATTGAAACAGAGTGATCTCCCCTTATTGAGCACTCGAGTCCTTGATAACGGACTCGAGTCCCAGTAAAACCGACCCGGCCCCGAGTACTCGAGTACGCGTTGAAGCCCTAGATGGTAGTGAATGGAACAGTGGCGCAATTATTTCACAGTGGCATGGGACATGTAGATCTATGTAACACTGATCGTGGATGATGATTCAAACTGCATGCGTAAAAAAATAAAAATACTTTGTGTAAATTAATCAAAGTAGTCTGTATTATTTTACGACTGGATGTTATACATGAAATCTAAATAGTTTTTCGGGAGAAAATAGGTCCGATCGCCGACCTACTCACATTATCGATCGATGACAGTACATTACACAGCCAAACCAGCCTTGTAACGAAACTAATGTGCAACCAAGGCTGTGATTGGTTATTAAATAATGACGGACTCGAGTCCCAGTAAAACCGACCCGGCCCCGAGTACTCGAGTACGCGTTGAAGCCCTAGATGGTAGTGAATGGAACAGTGGCGCAATTATTTCACAGTGGCATGGGACATGTAGATCTATGTAACACTGATCGTGGATGATGATTCAAACTGCATGCGTAAAAAAATAAAAATACTTTGTGTAAATTAATCAAAGTAGTCTGTATTATTTTACGACTGGATGTTATACATGAAATCTAAATAGTTTTTCGGGAGAAAATAGGTCCGATCGCCGACCTACTCACATTATCGATCGATGACAGTACATTACACAGCCAAACCAGCCTTGTAACGAAACTAATGTGCAACCAAGGCTGTGATTGGTTATTAAATAATGACGTGTCAAAGTTATGAAAAACCCGGACACGGCCGGCTCTCTATATGCACTTTATGTACAATGTACCTTGACATGACGTGCGTAACTACACGGTCACTTGAGCGATTTATAAAAATGAAACACAAACGTAGATTTGAGTGGATAAGAGATATATTTAGTTCTGTGATGATAATGATAATGATAATTATGCAAAGGGAAAATTGCACTCAAAATTCTTGATACCATGCAACTGGTGCGTGTACATGACGTAATGTATGAACACATTTCTATTTACTAAAAAGTCACTAATTTTCGATTGTTTCTGACTGTCACGTTCCTCGTTTCTCAGTTGTGACAGTATGCAGCGGACTTGCATCACGTGTAGCTGTTCGTATTTGTCACTTTTTTCTAAGTGCCGGTATAAAAGCTCGGCCAGTAGTATAGGTAATAGGGGTTCTGGCTCACTTCCACTGGAGCCGTATTTATATACCTTTACTGCTACTACAGAGGGAATTTTCTATGTCAAAATGATGATGCGATTCAACGATAGTCATGAGATTCAGCTAAATTGGTCCTAGCTCACCAATACCTGGGGCCAATCATTGCTTTAGATGAGTCTAAATGGTAATAAAAATATTCTTTATTATTTTTATCAATAAAGCGATATTCAACATTTTTATTAAGTTCTTCGTTCATTTTACTAGGAGACCAGACTATATAACTACACTCTTTTTGTAAATTGATAAGAAACAATTGATAACCGTATTTGGTTGGTTTGACATCACTGATATAATAAAAACCTTGTGGTAATTCTTTCCATTGAATAGCTTTCTCCATTATTATATATTTATGTTAGCATTTGTCTAAATGTAATCACACGATAGTAAACAATCTATTTTTAATCTCCAACCAGTTCTTTGGTTTTGGCACGGAATAATTGACGCGCTTGTTGCCTCCCCTGTTCTATGAACTTTTTTTTCTCGTCTTCGATAATACCACTGGTCTTACGAGATTTTGATCGAATCTCCTGCTTCATTTCATTGTATTTGGTGAGCTCCGACAGCACTAAACGAAACTCATCCTTGGATATCTTACAATCGGCCATTGCTGTCGAAATATGATCCTCAATGCTGTTCAACTTTGGTTCGGCGAGTATCCGAATACTATCGTGTTTTAATGCTTTCTTTTGTAACCTACGAGAAATGAATTTTATCGCTATTCCTGCCAGTCCCGAGACTCCAGCAGTTATTTCCATGCCGAGCACGATAGGCGCAGCGATAATAGTTGATAGTAAACCGATACCCGCTACACCGAGTCCCATCCCAGATACTAAAAGCACGGTGTCAACTCCGTCCAGAGCATTCACGGCTCTGCGATACTTTTTATACAATCCAAGTCTCAACTCCCTATCCTTCCCTATTCGATGTTTTATGTCGCTTATTTGATGTAATCGAAATCCATCAACGGTATCCATCTTTTCAAATGCTTCACCGAGCGTCGGATATAAACTCATAGTGTATATTACGATCATATAATAGTCTTTAATTGGTCTTGCTTAAATGTTTTGAGACTATACATCAATCTTATCAAATGTATATTATACGGCAAGAATATCTTAGAAAGAGAAATACTGTCACTTTTAATAATTTAGACCCCCTCGAGGGTTGCAACGGGCGATGCTCCGATATGAATAATACTGCAACGTTGACGTTGGTGTTTCTTTTGCCATTTAATCGATAGACCTGGTAATATATCGAAGGCATCTTCCGGTGCATCTCCGAACAAGACTTCAATAATAAGCGTAGAAAGATTAGGTATTGCATTCAAGTTATCTTTAATATCTTCGAATTCAGTAACCAAATTTAAAGTAACATTTTTTAAGGCCGGACGACTGTATATCATATGACCTGGGTTTTCTGGCAGGGGGGTAACTAACACACTTTTTCGTTTTGACGGGATATAAGCCGCGAGTACGATGCCACTATTTATTATCTTAGTTAAATTATGTCCCTTACCCATCATCACATAAGGTGGGGTAATGACGATATTCAGTAGCCACTCGATGTTTGCTTCAACCATAGTCCATTTATTATCGTCGTTGCGAGTAATATTGTACGAAGTGTTTTTAAGGAGTCTACTAACATCGACATCGCTTAAATCTCCTAGATTACCCGTGAATATGACTTCTTTCCGATTGTATACATTATCGTGTAAGTGTAAAGCGTATAACTTACCATCGGTGCCGGGTTTACCGAATCCTTCCGTGTCTCCGAGATCGGAAAGCGCAATTGTATTACATTGTCTTACTGTTCCAGGGCCTGATGCATCAACCATTATTTTTAATATGGAGTGTTACACTTAAGTATCCTATATGTACTGGTTGGTGTTTTACATCTAATACAGAAATTTTGAGGTCTGAAATAATTCCACGCTTTAATTTTTTATATTGTAGTGACGAGAAAGATTCCGTTCTACCGCTATTATATTTTTCATTTTTCACTGGAACACTTCTGAGCAAAGTTGAAGGACTTTCTAGTTGAATATTATTTGTCGTACTGATTTGATCAAGATGGATACACAACTCTTTATAGGGAACTAAATCGGACAATGTCTCTCCATCAAATGCTGCCTTGAATATTGATAAAATTCCGCGTGTAAATCCAAGTGTAGCTGATAAGTTCCCTACAATCCGTACACCTTTTTCTCCAGTGTCGAATTTCAACATTCCATTGGACTCTTTTGTGTTAGACTAATTCCATTAGACTTAAAAATTTCATCATTGAGTGAGCATATGCTGTAATACCCATCAGGTATAATAATGAATTTTTCAATAATATTTTGTTCATCTAATATCCATATCTTATTATTACCTCTCACAGCACTTATATTGGTCCACAGTGGGTAATATGTTACATCGCATAGAGCGACTTCGAGTTGTCCATCCGAGTTATCGATAGTACGAAGCAGTTGAATAGACTGACCATTTGTTATTCCCGGGAGTGTAACATACATATCAAATATACAATGATACTATATCATAACTTAAATATGGAATCAACCATTATATAATATGGAGTGTTACACTTAAGTATCCTATATGTACTGGTTGGTGTTTTACATCTAATACAGAAATTTTGAGGTCTGAAATAATACCACGCTTCAATTTTTTATATTGTAATGTCGAGAATGATTCCGTTCTACCGCTATTGTATTTTTCATTTTTCACTGGAACACTTCTGAGCAGAGTTGAAGGACTTTCTAGTTGAATATTATCCGTCGTGCTTATTTGATC